AACTAACATTGGACAAAGAGTTAAAACTTACTTATCGTCTTTCTTCTTCTTCTTCCATCGTGTTGTCACAAACACAGTGTCCATGCTTCACTTCCTCTGTTTCTCTAAAGTTTCTGTGAATGAATAAAAAACTTTTTTCTTTTTTTTTTAAATGTGATGTTTCTTTAAATTATTTTGTTGTTTTTTTTGTTTTTTTTAAACCGCGCCCCTCTGCTACGTCACAGCACAGGCTCCCGGAAGCGGTTGCCGGACGTCATGACGTCACAGCGGCGCTTGTGACTTGACGAAATGGATCCGAGATCAGCTCGCGGAGGATCCGAGGGTCTGCGGGTGTCCACCGGCGGATAGAACCCAAACATCCACTGACACACACACAGACAGCCGCAGGTTCGATCCCGCAACAGCAGCTGACACACACACACACACACACACACCGCGTGGAAGTAAGTCCACGTTAGCTTCGAGCTAATGTAGCCTGAGTGTTTACTCCCTCAGCAGCAGGAACGTGGCTCCACCGTGTCTCTGGTTCATGACGTAGTTTCACAATAAGACGAGGTGATTCTCTCATTTCTGCTGATTGAGGGACACGAGGACACGAGGACATGAAGACATGAGGACATGAAGACATGAGGACATGAAGACATGAGGACACGAGGACATGAGGACACGAGGACATGAAGACAGCAGCTGGTCAAACTTCTTCAACTGTGTCTCCACTGGTTCATGAGGTAGTTTCACAATAAGACGAGGTGATTCTCTCATTTCTGCTGATTGAGGGACATGAGGACATGAAGACACGAGGACACGAGGACATGAGGACATGAAGACATCAGCTGGACAAACTTCTTCCAGCGTGGCTTCAACGTTTCATCAGTTTGAGGAGTGAGATTGGTTTTAGCAGCAGGGACGGATTGTGTTAATTTTAGGGCCCGGGGCAGGAAAACAAGTAGCCCCCAAAAGAGAAGCATGAAACTGAGCCTCCACATGATTCACCTGTGACCTCTGTGGACTTGACGCCTCGTTAGTTCTGTACTCGTGTCTCGTTTGTTGCTCTTGTTTGTCACATTCTGGTCATTTTGTTTTTGGGCTGGAAGATAAAAAAGAGTCGATATCAACAACACGAATGAAGGTTGTGTGTTTTTTCTAAACTCTTTTCTTTATGAGCAGAGAATTAAAACACCGTTAAATCTGTGGTTAATCAATCGTGTGACGTATCAGCAGTTTATCACTCTGTTATAATTGATATTTTAGACCTGATCTGTTTTCTCGACTCGTTGTTTGTCATTTGAATCTTCCCGTGGTCGCTGTCGCTCATTCAAGGCTCTCGATGGTCATCGTCATGTCGTCTTTTATTTAGTCTCTCATTTCTCTCTGTTGTCTTTGTAGCTTTGTCTCTAATGGAAGTTGCGGTCATTTCAATATTGCTGTGGTCGCTCTGACTCGTGTGCTGTCCAACTTGTTGACCCTTCCACGAGCGCAGTGCCTAAAGGGGAAGGAAGTTAGTTCCACTTCGGTTTACTGTCGTCGCTGCTGCATCACTTTATGAATAGAAGTAAAAGCGATTTGAAGAGATCACTTTGGTCATTTCATCATTTCCAGTTGTCGCCACAATGCCTCTGCTGATTAGTGGGATTGGTCTTCGTCTACGAGCTGCACATTTTTCATAATGTTGATGAAGAGACTCGTTCAGCCGCCGTCAATCTTTAGACAAACCCTGAAGAATCTTTGCTCGTGTCAGGAAGTGAAGAGAAGCTGAGTGACTCAGTGGATTTTGGTTGACCGGCTTCTCTTTTAGGGGATGAGTCATCGACATGAAAACGCCATAAGAAAGATAGAAACTAAATGGAGCTCACGATCTGTATTGAACCGTCTCCTCCTGTTTTTGTTTGCAGTGCAGAGCTCGGTAGGATGAACAGGAATCAAGATGATGTAAGTAGCTGCGCTCTTTCTGATTTTCCACATTAACACAAGACTCATTTCTGATGCGAGTTATTCACGACCATAAGAAACTTTCCTCGTGTGATAAGAGCAGAATAATTCCTCCATTGATATTTATTTTCAGAAACTGTGTCTGTGTTGATGAGGCGTGTCATGTCCCTACACAGTGATATCAGTCCTATGGGTAGTTTAGTTCTTTTAATAATAAAGGAAATGTTTTCTGTTTCCTCCTGCAGGAGTTTGTTGCAGTGCGGGTCCAGGATCCCCGCGTTCAAAATGAAGGCTCGTGGAATTCATATGTGGACTTTAAAATATTCCTGCACGTGAGTATTTCAAGTTTCAAACTATTTTCTTAAATGGAAGGAAAATTCAAAGACTATTTGCTGGTGGTGAATATTTGCTGATTGTCGCCTCAGTTACGTTGAGTGTGAGAAAACAAAAAGGTGATTACAGTTGTCTGTTTTTATCTGAATTGTTTACGAGCCTTCACCTCAGATTGATCTGTTTATCTTGTGGGGTTTATCTTTTTATCCCTTGATGGTACGTTGGCGCTGTGACACGTACGTTTCCCTCAAATATTTGAAGATAAGACAATTCTATGATACCCAGCGGACGTTTTATTCTAATACATATTACAGATCGTTGTATGACAGTGGAGCAGTTCTTTCCACTAATGAACAGACTTTGTTTGAGTTCAAATGTAAAGGAAGCAGTAAATAACCTGGAGCTTCCACTCGATCGATTTTATCTCCGTTGCCCTTTTCAACCCGACCTAACGTCCGTCTGAGGAAACCACTGAGTTTGCAGCGGAGGAGATTCCTCGTGTTTTGTGCGGACAGGAGTTCTTATCGTCGTCTCCGCTCTGGGCTGTGTCCAGGAAATGCTGCGTCAGCACTGAGGCTTCGTGCTCAGACAGATGTTGTGTGTTTGTTGACTCGTGAAACCGGCAACGACCGTGTGACATCACATGATCTTGCAACATTCTGCTTGTGGCCGGTGTGTTGGTGCACAATGTGTGAATCAGAATCGCAGCATATTAAGAGAAGTAGCTTTCCTGGTATTTTCCCTTATACAGAAAAACACTACAATGATTCCATTACCTGTAATAGAAACTAGAAACATTATAGGAGATGAAACTAATTCACAGTAAGTTTATATATTTTAAGTTTCCTCCCTTGGCAGTCAGGTAACATTAAGGTTTTTATATTCATCCTGGGACTTTTATCCACTCATGGAATTTGTTGATGTGTTTTAATGACGTGGGAATTGAACCAGCGCAGCCTGCACTGTAATTGATTATGTCCCGTCTGAAGGCGGCTTGTTACGCAAACATAAGTGGACTCTGTCACACGTTCCTGGAATCAATGGCATGTGATGATTCCGCTGTTGTTCTGCACAGAACCGCCGGACACAGCTGAAGCCCGAGTCACTCGACTAACGTTAGTCACGAACATACAGAGGAGCAGTTGTACAGTAGATTGTAAATAAGGCCGGTTGTTCTTTTATTGTCAAATCCTGTGAAAAGACAGAGTCAAGATTTGTTATTTCGCCTTTAAATACTTTCACAACTTCTTGACTTTCTTGTGCTCATTAGTTCT